CTGTACGTTGACAACAAGGCCGCCATTGCCTTGTGTGAGGAGCACAGACTGGAGCACAGAACGAAGCACATTGCTCTGTGTTACTTCCTGGCTCGAGAGTTGCAGCAGCGAGGCCAGCTTCGTCTTCGCCACGTGGCCACTCGGGCCAACACTGCTGACATATTCACCAAGGCACTTCCGTCTGGTGATCATCAGCGCTTTTGTACTCTGTTAGGCCTTGTGCCTACGTTTCCACACTTGCTGTAGTCTCTGCTTGTACTGTGATCTGTACATATATATATATATATATATATGCATGCTGGCTCTTGCTAGGTAGCCATCACTGTACTGTTATTGCTGCATATATATCTCTGCATGTGAACTGGCCCAGTGGCCCTTTGCTTGTGCTCAGAATGCGTGGTGACGTTGTGATCCACCCTGAGCTTGTTTTGCTTCTCTTGACTGGTCGTGTGACCCCTTGTTCTCCCCCACTTTGCCTATGGGGGTGTGTCAAACTGTATGTGCTGCATATTGTCTAGGCTGTAGTGGGGTAGCCCATATGGGGTACAACCTAGTTAGGGTTTACTACTTGTACTCCTGCATCCTGTTAGTTCATCCATTCCTGCTGCTAGATTCTAACACTCCTTGCTCCGCTTGTCCCACCTCAGGTAAGCAGCACGTGTCAACGCAATATCCATAGCTCTAACCTCCTGACGCAGCTTCGACCACCTCGCTTTCTCACTCGGATCAGCAGCACGAGCACACGCCTCCTTGGATATCGCTTTTGTGGTCACACTCGCTTCAGGTACCTGAGGTGTGGTTGAAGCCACTGGAGCCACAGGCGCTACCTCAGGGACCACCACAGGCGCAACCAAAGCAGATGGAGTCACTGAAGCAGCAGCTGCAGATGGTGAGAGAGCAGCAGCGACAGCCACAGGTGCAACCACGGCAGCAGCAGGCTTGCCTCCGAAGCGGCCGATTCCAGGCCGCTTCACATCAGGCGCGTCAGGTACAACGTGCATCTTCAAGGTGGGCTTGTGTTGCCCGTCAGCGACGCCTTGGGAGGCCAGTTTCTCCAGCAGCGGCCTCACGCTCTTCAGAAGCACGCTGCTGGAGAACGTCTCACCGTCATCGTTGCAAGCAGCAGGCTTGGCAGGAGAGAATCTTACAGGCGAGAAAACGGCTCGCGGGATTCCGAACCTGCCAATGCGTCTCGTAGGCATTGCAGGACTGCTCGCCGAGTGGGAAGCAGAGTTAAAGCTCAAGGCCCAAATTGCAGAGCGCGCGGGGCAAGATTACTAAAGTTGATGAGAGTGATGTTTTGGGTGTTCATCCCAAAAATTGAACTGGCAAAAACCTACCCCAAGGTTTCCTCCAGGTTACCCCGCTGTAGGTAACCCAAAGGATTCAGTATAGGATTCCGCGAGGTTACCTCAAAGTTCGTGGTGACCCCGAGGTTACCCACATGAGGTGACCTGCGGGAAACCGCGAAGCTACTGCAAGGAAACCTCTCCCAGATTCCTGGAACGAATCATGCGCGACCTTGGTACGCGCTGTGAGACTGTTCGCGACCAGCAAATCATACAGTACACTAAATTATTTCTCGTTGTCATATAATAATGTAATTAGGGTCATTTTGACTCATTTTAATCGCTGATAGTATTGATGCTATTTCATAAAGCCTGTTTCCATCGTCTAAGACTCATTTCCTGTATATGCTAAATATACCAAATAAAGAGTGCGCCATATAAAGATGCCCGTACACGATTCATAACAATGATGAATACATTCAAAACACAATGTTAGGACTTACACCACCGTGCAAGTGTGCAAAAGACAAACTATGACTGCACAGAGTAAGTTTCAGATCAAATAGAGATGCAAATATCTTTGAAAATAACACTTCTTCAGAATCAGGTCGTTGATTCATAGTTCCTGTCACACCTGAGTAGTGAACACAACACAGAATGGGAACATGTCAAGACCCAGACGGACTGGGAAACACTAGTGCGAAATTACAGCTGTCTATTACCGAGTGGCGAACGTGCTTACCAGGCGAAGAGAATCTGGCAGCTAGGAGGCTCGGTGAACTAGCGCCTGCAAAATCAAGGCGCAAATTAAGACGCAAGGGCATCGGATTGCAGTGAAACATACAATGACAATAAGAAAGCAAGAGCAAACTGGGTGGCTGACAAAGAGAAATGTGGCTTCAACCTGCGAAACAGGATGACGACATGATGCCAAACAGAACGAGCGGCGCTCATCCAGAAACTCCAGGGGACATAAATCATAAATTATCACATCACGGTCATATCGCTTACCTCACGACCGCTACTAAGAGCCTCGCCGCGACAACGAGATCTACGGCAGTACGTGATGGCGGCACAAACCCTGGCATCGCTTCCGCCATCGGTAATCTGCCATAAAGAAACAATCATCAGAGAATATAGAAATTACTCGTTATTCGACTTCGGCAATACCGGAAACCCTATGAAGTCCATGGTAAAATACTGGAAATTTAAAGGATCCTAGTCATAGAGCGTGCACGGACAGCTTTCTGACAACTAAGCTCCAAGTAGCGACGATCGCGGAGCTATGACGCCATGGCGAGTTGGAAAAAGCGTGAGATGGATGATTCAACAACTGAATCAGAGCAACTGTTAGAACCACTGAAATACACTTCGACGCATCACCAAAAGGATCTGCGGTGCAGAAGTGACGTGGAAGGATTTGATTGGTGACAGTTATTCTGCCTGCTTCTCAGCGAAACTTATCAGAATACAACGCGATATGGTGAGGCGCGTTAACCAATCTCATCATTCAGCAGTGCTGCTAGAACTTACACTATTATCGAAACCTGCTGCGGGTCAGCTTCGGTTTCCGAAACAGTGCGACCAAGCCAGTGGACTAGCCTCGTTCCGAGGCAGTGGGGTTTCCTTGAGGTAACCTCGAAACTCTCCTGCATCCTGATTGGTCAATTTGTTTTCTCGATAGTAAACGACATTCTCGTGAATTTCGCTTGATATCGTTGTTGCCCTCATGTTTCCTGTTGGGTTCTTGAGGGTAACCTCGCGTGCGATGCGTTGAGGTATCCCACGATTTCGAGCCAATTTCGGCAGTTGAATTTTTGGGATGTTGTTTGGCTGCGAATTGTGGTTACGTGAAGTGCGATGCAATTTAATTGGCCAACAGTTTTTTGTCGAATAGGAGAGAAGGAAACACCAAGAATATTGTGAGTGCAATTTGGGACTCGAGATCCAAACCGAGTTTCTCCCCGGGGTTTGGTGAGTCAGCGAAAACCCTAAGGGTGTAGTGAGAAGCTGGGCGAAACTAAACAGCCCAACTTCAACAAAGTCAACCTTACTCTCCCACCACCCAAAGGGCAACCTTAGTAAGGTTGAACAATTTGGGCCTTGAGCTTTAACAGTGCAGATGTCGGCAAGAGAAGCCATGTTGCTTGACTGCAGATCGCTGAACAGAAACTGATCGTTGGACAGAGGCTGATTTCTGAAAGCTTTGCTCACAGCAGATCGACAGAACGGATGAGGAGCCGGGAATGGTCAGTTCCAAACCTGGCGATCCCATTTCTACTGCACTCGGGCTTCGCCTGCTCAACCCCCCCCGTCTCCACCCCCACAAGCCTCGCCTGCCTGAACATTGGAGTTTCAGCCTCGGCCTGCCTTGCTGTCTACTCATACGGATGCCACGTCACAGGAATCGAACGACGGAAAATGATGCAGCGAGGTGTGTGGACGGATCTCAAGGCGTCTGTTGCTGGGGCTCAGGTTCGGGAACTTGATGGCGTCGCGTCAGGCGAAATAAGCGGGGTGGGTGGGAGGTTCGGGGAGATTCTGTCGGTGTGGGTGCGTTTCAGGTGCTTGAGTCCCTCGAGGCGCCTCACCAGTTTCCCGCCATCAATTTTCTCGATTTCTTCCCGAGCCGTTTCGACGACGCTTTGTTACAACAAACCGTAAGGACACGATTTTCGGTAAGAAAACTTCGCACAACGCTACGGCGACGGGTGTGAAGGCTTCGTCTCGAGGCATGGTATGTCAGCAGTAAGGGTTTGGTCTGTGCTGTGCTCACTGGAGGTGGATCTGGATCAGATTTAGCAGGCTTTGGGATTGCCTGCTGTGTGCTGCGGAGAATCGAGGGGGAAAAGTGGCAGCCCCCCTCTGAGCAAATATTGTGTCGTCCCCTCTATAAGCAATCGTCATCTTGTCTGGGTAAAAATTCAGTTTTTAAAAATCAATGTTGATTGCAATTTCTGTGCTCGGTTGGATACACGGATTTTGGAATAAACTGTGCTTGTTGAGGAAGGTAGATCTGTGCGGTACGAAGCGGTCGCAACAGTATTATTCGCGGTGCATCGTGTTGCGACGGCAGTGAGTCGCAATGGCTATCCCGACATTCCTCCAGGTGGGATTTGGCGGAGCTCTGAGCAGCCATGATTTTTAGGCGAATTAGAAGCAGACGTGTCTCGCGAGCGAACAACCGATAACAAGCGCGCAGTGGATTTCGAGCGCGAAGGTGAGTACAAGCGCATAAGGTGAATACAAAGTGATTACGAGCGCAGAAGCGACTACCAGCGCCATGCCATAAAAAGCAGTCACGAGAGCACCATGCCATAAAAAGCCCGCAGGCGATTACGAGCGTGCAGGCGATCACGAGCGCGCAGCGCGCCAGAGATTTCAAGAGTATAAGCGATTACGAGCGCAGAAGGGACTGCGAGCGCAGAAGCGATTACGAGCCTTGGTTACGAGTAGGAATTGAATCGTACAAGCGATCTCAAAACAACCGTTCCAGGGGTTCAATTTCGAAAGGCGACGGTCACGCTGCATTCTCGCCGTTTCATGCTGGCGGGACAATGCAATCTCCCACGCAGCCTTCACCATTCGCCTTCTCCCAGCCGGCGCGTGGCCGTCATGTCCAACTGATCGCGTCCGAGCCTGTTAATCCTCGCCCAATCAGATCGCCCCAACCGAATCGCAGGCTTGAAATGAGGGTGAGCGCGCGACGAGATGCGTGAGCGAAGACGGGAGTGCAGGAATCAGGACGGGCGGACGGAACGGAAGGAGCCGAAGGGTTGGAAGGAGGGAAGATGCGAGATAGAGAAGAAGGTTTGAGAGCAAATTTCGTACAAGGAGAGGGAACGGCGGAGCGGAAGGAGCAGAAAAGATCTTGGATGCAGCGAAAAACTCGGCGGGGATGGAGGGAGGGACGCCAACAGTTGTGGATTGGCGGTTGCTTCAGTTCCCACAACCCTCTCCCTCCTGTCGTGCTCTCATGCTGACGCGGTCGCTGACGTGGCGGCTGACGTGGCAGGTGAGACCAGGGGGTGGGAGGGGGCGGGGTTGCGCGGAGGGGAGTGCAAGGCCATAGAAGCTTAGGCGAGAGCCGAAGCGCAAGGGCATGAAGTGGAGTGAGTGGTGGGGAGCCGACGCTGCCTTGTGCCAACTTTCTCAAGTGCGTCAAGTGGTGAAGCGGTTACGGAAGTGAGGGAGGGAGGGGAGCGAAGCAATGCGCTAAGAGGTTTCTTTGCACTGCTTGTGGTGTTGGTGGCGATGGCAGCGAGAGAGCTGTCAACCAGAAGCTTTTTCAGGTTGGTGCGATTTGCGGCAGTGTCTGCATTCCAGCTGACATCATGCCGACGTCATGTCATCTGCTCCATTTGACATACATGACGGTGTGCTGCGAGGGGCCACTCCTGCATGCTCACCTGCTCTTGCATGCGATCCAAACACATGCAGTGCAGTGCACAAAAATTCATACACGCTACATGCACATAGCATCACATCAAGTGGTACATGCATGTCACTCAGATGCCCTCCACCCACAGCACCCTCCCGCACCCACCTCCACCTCTCTCTCTCACCCTCTCCTCCCCTCTTCGCGCACCTCACCCCTTCCCCTCGCTCTACCCCTCCACTACGTTTCATCATCTCCCCCATTTCCTCCCATGCTCCCCCTTCCTCTCCCCCCCGGGCTACCCCTCCACACCCCTCGGCCCCCCTGACCCCCTCACCCTTGTAGGCATCTGCAGTGACTGGGCATGCGTCTTCTAGCTCGTATGCTAGCTCAGCTGCTTCTAGCCCCTCCCATTCCCCCACCCCATCCTTTCCCCCCATCCCATTCCCCCTCCCCCTCCCCCCAGAAAACCCCTCTCGTGGAGTCAGCATCTTCCCCCAACCGCAGCTGCTCATTCGCCAAGCACTGGCCACGGTCAAGCTGCGGGCATGGTCAGCCCCAACTGCTCGTGGTAACGCCACGCGTTGGCACATGGGCAGCGTCCCACCTCCCCACTTGCCACTTGTGTCAGCCGAGTCGTTTCTTCTTCCCAAATCCCGATCAGTCTTTTTTTCGCCTGGTGTTTGTTTTTTTGTCCCCCCCCCCTCCCTCCCCCCTTTTTCGTTTGTTTTGTTTCGTGAGTTTTGTGTGTGTGTGTGTGTGTGTGTGTGTGTGTGTGTGTGTGTGTGTGTGTGTGTGTGTGTGTGTGTCTGTGTGTGTGTGTGTGCGTGCGTGCGTGCGTGTGTGTGCGTGCGTGCGTGCGTGCGTGCGTGTGTGTGTGTGTGTGTGTGTTTGCCTGTATGTTTTCTTTTCTTTTCTTTTCTTTTCTTTTCTCTATCATTTTCTTTTTGGGCGGTGGATGTATTCGTGTTTGTATGCCAGGGCTCTTGTCTATTCTGAGCTTTGGACAAGTGATGCATTCCCGTGCATGGGGCAGTGCTAGGGCATCAGTATGTTAATGAATTCTGTTTCACAGAGCCCATTTTATGCCATCTCACTCAGAAAAACCATCCCATGCCATCACACAGCCCATCTTACTCACACACATCATGCCATGCAATTGTGCAGCCCATATGATGCCATCCCGCTCACTCACCATCCCATACCGTCACGCAGCCCATCTCATGCCATGTCACTCATACACACCGTCCCATGCCCTCACACAGCCCATACCATGCCACCTCATTCACACACCATCCCATGCAATCGCACCAGATTTCATGCCAACCTACTCACACGCCATCCCTCTTCCATTGGTTACCACATTTCATCCCATTTCGCGTAATCACACCATCTCATGCCCTCACACAAACCAATTCATGCCATCTCACTCACACTCCATCTCATAACATCACATGGGTGAATTCATCTGGGATCAAGCACTCACACTATCCTAGCATGCCATTACACAGCCCATGTCATGCCATCTCACTCACACATACCATCACACAGCCGATTTTAACCTATACCACTCTCACACACCACCATCCCATCCCATATTACCCACACATACCATCCCATGCCATCACACACACCACCCCAAACAATCACACGTCATCCCATACCATCACACACGCCTCATCCCATATCACTCACACACCAATTCATGCAATCACAAACACTTCCCCATCCCATCCCATTCCATCCCATCCCATCCCATCCCATCCCATCCCATCCCATCCCATCCCATCCCATCCCATCCCATCCCATCCCATCCCATCCCATCCCATCCCATCCCATCCCATCCCATCCCATCACATCCCATCACATCACATCCCATCACATCCCATCACATCCCACATCCACCACTGTCCATCACACATTGTCTATTGCTGCATTCATTCCTGCTAATCTTTTCCGTACCATCCCAACCCTTCCCACTCAGGCACAAGCCAAACCGAGTCGAATCATGTTTCAGTCACTTATAGAATCTTAAGCCCGCCATGAGAATTGACACAAGCTGCTCGATCTCAGTTGAGATGAGCTGCTACACACACATCGGTCCCAGGGCAGGCCTTTGGCTTCAGCAGCCTCACGGCCTGATGCTCCTGCAGGATCAGCCTGCACGTGCAGCGGGATCAAGGCAGGCCAAAGTAGTTTTGGCTTCAGCAGTCTCACTCACAGCCTGATGCTCTTGCTGGAGCTGCTTCTGCTGTTAGCAACAGTAATGCATGCTTGCTGGGCAAGCGAGTGCACTACAGTGTGCCGTGCTGCACTCTTCGCCTGCCACTCCACCACTGCTTCTCCCTCTCCTGCTTGCTGCTTGCTGCACCAGCTGAGGAACCTTGCGTGCTGAAGAGGATTGACGTGCTTGCTGATGCATCAGTTTACTACTTGAATATTTAATTCATACCCCGTTATAATAGCTAATGAATACAGTGGCAGATATAGGTAGTCCCTACAAGCCATCATTGAATAACCAGAACCAGTCAGAAAGGACATTGTATGGGTATCCTCTGATATCTGTATCAGCCAGTCATTTGAGTTCATTAAATGACAATTTCATCGAGCTGAAACAGAACTCTGCTTAATACTATTTGTCGCAAAAACTAGAGCAACAACCCTAATGCGGTAATTTACAGTGTACACATCAATGCCTACAGCAGCTGGGAGTCGTTCAGCTGGTGTCACCATTGTTCCAACACAAGTCAGTGTTGTAGCCTATGTATGTACAGTTGGTGTCACTGTTGTAACCTACGTACGCTCCCAACAGCAGCTGGGGATTAAGTGCGGGCATCACTACGAGGGCTCTTTCAAGAGCTCCTTCTGTGCGCCCTGCTGCTGCTGCAGCCTGGCCTCGCCTGCCTCTCATGCACCAAACCCTCTCTCCTCCCCGCCTGCTGCTTCACCCCCTCCCTGCCACACACGCCACTTGCCACTGCTCTGCCACCTGCTGCCTTCACACCACCCTGCCTTCCACCTGCTGCCCTCCCTGCTGCTCCCTCCCCACACCCATCCCCCTCTCTCCTCTTCACCCCACTCGCATGCCTGCTGCTGGCCTTGCCTTCTGCTCTCACTGAAGATGCAGCACCACGTAATCCCGCAACCGCTGCTGCTGCTGCACATGGGGCAGAGCTTGCATGCGTGTTGTTGCCTTTACCACCCTTCACACCCATGCTCACCACCTTGCTGCTGCACCCATTCTTGCCCTTCGCGCTTTCAACCCCCACCTTGCACCTTGCTGCAACAGCAGGCTTTGGCTTCTGTGCTGCTGCTGCTGCTCCTCTCACTGATGAGGCCGCAGCAGGTGATTTCACTGTTGTTGTAGCTGCGGGCGAGGGAGCAGCTGGTGCTGCGGACACTGCTACAGCCGCTGCTGCTGCAGACGCAGGAGGCACGGTTTTGCGAGTCAGATTCGCCATAGCATTAGGATGCTTGGGCAAGAAGCAGGGACGCAGGGCGGCTTCAATGGCCGCTTCAATCTCCATGGCCCATGATGCCTCCTTGCTCCGCTTGTCCCACCTCAGGTAAGCAGCACGTGTCAGCGCAATATTCATAACTCGAACCTCCTCACGCAGCTTCGCCCACCTCGCTTTCTCACTCGGATCAGCAGCGCATGCACTCGCCTCCTCGGGTATTGTTTCTGTGGTCACACTCGCTTCAGGCACCTGAGGTGTGGTTGAAGCCACTGGAGCCACAGGCGCTACTTCAGGCACCACCACAGGCGCAACCACAGCAGACGACGTGACTGCAGCAGCAGCAGATGGTGAGGGAGCAGCAGGGACGACCACAGGTGCAAGCACGGCAGCAGCAGGCTTGCCTCCGAAGCGGCCGATTCCAGGCCGCTTCACATCAGGCGCGTCAGCTACAACGTGCACCTTGGCGGGCTTGTGTTGCCCGTCAGCGACGCCTTGGGAGGCCAGTTTCTCCAGCAGCGGCCTCACGCTCTTCAGAAGCACGCTGCTGCAGAACGTCTCACCGTCGCCGTTGCAAGCAGCAGGCTTGGAAGGAGAGCATCTTACAGGCGAGAAAACGGTTCGCGGGGTTCCGAACCTGCCAATGCCTCTTGTAGGCGTTGCAGGATTGCTCGCGGTTTGAGAAACAGAGTTAATATCAACGAGAGAGGCCATGTAACTAGACTGCAGATCGCTGAACAGAAGCTGATCGTTGGACAAAGGCTGAATTTCGAGTAGTTTGTTCACTACAGATTGACAGAACGGCAGAAGGATTGGGAATGAAAAGTTCCAACCCTGGCGACCCCATTTCTACTGCACTCCGGCCTCGCCTACTCGAACCCCCCCATCTCCATCCCCACATGCCTCGTCTGCCTGAACATCGGAGTTCGAGCCTCGGCCTGCCTTGCTGTCTACTCGTACGCATGCCACGTGTCGGAAATCGAACGGTGGGAGATGAAGCAGCAATGTGTGCGGACGGATCTGAAGGCGTATTTTGCTGGGGGTTCAGGTTCGGGATCTCGATGGCGTCGCGTCAGGCATAATAAGCGGGGGTGGGAGGTTCGGGGAGACTCTGTAGGTGTCGGTGGTTTTCAGGCCCTTGAGTTCCTCGAGTCGCCTCACCAGTTTCCCGCCATTATTTTTGTCCTCGATTTCTTCCCTAGCCGTTTCGACGACGCTTTGTTACAACAAACCGTATGGATACGATTTTCGGTAAGAAAACTTCGCAGAACTCAACGGCGACGGGTCTAAAGGCTTCGTCTCGAGGTATGGTGTGTGAGCCAGAACGGTTCGGGCTGTGCTTTGCTCACTGGAGGTGAATTTGGATCAGATTCAGCAGGCATTGGGTTTTAAGTTTTAAGTTTTTATTAAGGTCGTGACCCAGACAATACAGAGGCAAAGAAGGAGTAACCCAAGCCAGAGGCCTACGCTAAAAACAGCGTTACTTTGCTGAACTAAGTTCACATGCAGGATGTTCCTGCCCGCTCCGCATTGTAAGTAGAGTGTCTACAGTCAGCTATGGGGGTTGGAAGGCATTGTTGAGGAGCCAGGTGGAGCGAAGCTCCTGGTGTAGCTGGGGGGATCCATCCGGAAGGAACCGGAGGAGTTTGTGCTTGATGGCAGCTTGGGATCGGTTGCGAACGGTACGTTTCTATTTCTTGGAGCGGTTGCCGTGGTAAAAGAAGTAGGTTTTGCAGGCTACTAGAAAAAGGGAGAGGATTCGGTGTAGCGTTGCCGTGCTTGAGTAAGAGACATTATCGTAGATCTGCGAGCATCGGTCTCTCCAAAGTGTGAGTGCCGCAGCGCCGACCAGGAGGCTCCACGGGGCCACTTTTCCAGTGGACGTGGCGGTCGGGAAGAACACAGCTTCTTGAGGGATGTTTAGGCGGAGGTGGTGGTTGGCAGCACGTTGTAACGCCGTGGTGACCGCTGGTGCGCTTCTACATTCGAAAAAGATGTGCGTATGAGACTCGATGATGTTGGCGCGGCAACGCTGGCAGATGCCTTTAGACGCGGTGTAGGGCATTCTGGCGCCGCAGGGCAGGGATCGTGTATAGAGTCTGAAGAGGACGTCCCTTTGTCGACTTGTTTGGTCTTTGAGAAAGGAGTGCGTCAGGTCCGGAAGTGAACGGATTGGAGACTGTAGGACTTCGTTCCATCGTTCGACATGGTCTAGAGGTTGCTGCGTGTAGAGGATTTTCCGAATTGTTGCGAGAGCCGGTTGTTGACGCAATAGCTCGTGCCGAACCCCAAGAGCCGCTCCAGAGCAGAAGGGTCCCGCCAACCATCTCCCGATGACGCACACTGTGATTACGTCCGTAGCAGCCAGCGTGATGCAACCGAGAGCCGTCTTATCCACCTGTCGCCCCTGTGTGACTTTGTGACGGTCAAAAGTTACAAGTCCATTGTCTAACACGTTCGTGACGCGAAGTACGTGCGAGGGGCCGGCCGTCGATACGGCTTCGAAGGCCCAGTCGTCTTTCTTGAGGTAGTCGGGGCGTGGGGTGAAGTTATAGAGAACCTCCCACCAGTCGTCTGGAACGGCGTCGTAAATCTCCTGTAAGATTCGAAGTCCACACGGAAAGTCCTTGGGAGGATATTGCGAGCGAAACTCGGCAGGTGTCAGTTTTCGGGACCCTCCAGGAACTGGGACCAAAAACCTGCCAAGCCGAATCTGCTTGGCAAGAAGAAAGAATTCATCCTTAACTCTTCCAAATGGCTTCTTATCCGGTTTGTGTATGAATCTGCTGAAAGCGACTGGCTCAGCCATCAGTACCCACGGTTCCAACCGTGGACCAGCCACCTTAGCCGGCGTATCCAGCACGCTTTTCAATTCGGCTACGAATCTGGGGGGGGTGGAGTCAGGTAAGTGCTTGAGTATGTCTGGATGGGCCAAGTAGCAGTGAAGCCCATAAGGGAGGGGGATGCATTCCCGTGCAGTATCTTCAAAGGGGGTAGGTATGAACCGCCGTACTGCCCTCTGAATGTTAAGGGCTTTTAAATGACTGGAGGGTTCGAGTGCACCTACTCCACCATGTTTCTTCTTGTTGTAAAGGATCCGCTTAGGAATGTGCCGTTGTGCTTGTCCCTCTTCCTGTCAGTGATAACGGACTGGAATGGTGAACTAGAAAGGATTGTGAGTACAAATATGAAACCCTAATGTTGTGACCCCCCTATAGGCTAACCCACTACAGCCTACACAAACACAACACATATAATGTTTGACACACCCCCATAGGCAAAGTGGGGGAGACCTAGGGGTCACAAGACCAGTCAAGGCAAAGCAAGGCAACAACAAGCTCAGGGTGGATCTCAAGGATACCACACAAATTCCGAGCACAAGCTAGTGGTCACAAGACCAGTTCACATGCAGGTTTATAACAGAGCATGAGATACAGTGATCACAACCTAGCAAGAGCAAACATGCAGGTAGATATATATAGTGATCACAGTACAAGCAAGGTCAAGAGGTAAGTAAGTGAGGTCCAGTAGGCACAAGGCCTAGCAGAGTGCAGAAGCGCTGATGGTCACAAGGCGGAAGCGCCTTGGTGAACACATCAGCAAGGTTGGCCTCAGTGGCCACGTAACGCAGACAAAGCTGACCGCGCTGCTGCAGCTCTCGAGCAAGGAAGTACCGCAGGGCGATGTGCTTCGTTCTGTGCTCCAGTCTGTGCTCCTCACACAAGGCAATGGCAGCCTGGTTGTCGACGTACAGAACTGGAGGAGAACGAGGCCGCTCACCCAAGTCGGTCAGCAGGTAGGTCAGCCAGCGTAGCTCCTGGGCAGCCATGGCTGTGGCGTAGATCTCAGCCTCACAACTGGAGCTGAGAACAGAAGAAGAGCGTGTAGAACGCCAAGAAACTGAGCCGGAGCCAAGGCTGAAGGTGTAACCCTGAGACGACCGCTGAGTAGCCTGGTCGTCCGCCCAAGAAGCGTCTGAGTGTCCAGTAAGTACAACTCGGTCTCGCCCTCCAAGCACTAGCCCCATGCCCGACGTACTGCACAAGTAGCGCAACACCCTCTTAGCGGCATCCATGTGCTCCTTCCTGTGACGGCCAGGAGCGACATAGCGTGCAAGGATGCTAAGAGGGTATGCAAGGTCAGGTCGAGTGCAGGTCATCAGGTACATGAGGCAGCCCACAAGCTCTGGATACGGGCCACTCGGCTCTACGGACTCATCCGAAGGCAGAGCTGAGAGCGAGTGACTGGTAGGCAGAGGAGTGGACTGAGGCGAGGAGTACGTGAAGCGGAAGCGCTGAAGGATCTGCTGCACCATGTGTGACTGAGTCAAGGTGATGGTGCGCCGTGCTCTGTCCCGGGTGATCCGCAAGCCAAGATAGCTTGTCAGTTCACCCAGGTCTGTGCACGTGTGTCTCCTCTGCAGCTCCGACTTCACGTGGGCAAGTGCCGCGGTGTCAGCAGTGGCAAAGACCAAGTCGTCGACGTACACGAGGATTTAGAACGGCGGCAGTGAGGTGTCTGTGCGTAGAAACAGTGACGGGTCAGCAGTAGAGGGAGCGAACCCAAGAGCCGCAAGTGTCGTCCTCAGTGTGTCGTGCCACTCACGCGGTGCCTGGCGGAGACCGTAGACCGGCCGCTGAAGCCTCCACTGGGTACCAGGAGGAACCGACCCAGTGAAGCCAGGAGGGCGGCGCAGCCAGATCTCCTCGTGCAGGCTGCCCTGCAAGAAAGCAGTGCTGAAGTCAAGTGAGTGAAGCTCGTAGTCGCGCTGAGCGGCTATGTGCAGCAGCACCCGAAGAGTGGTCATCTTCGGGGTGGGGGAGAAGGTCTGAAAGAAGTCAACTCCCTCTCGCTGACTGAAGCCTCGAGCCACGTAGCGCGCCTTGAAGACAGGAGGAGAACCCGGTGGCCGCTTCACCCTGAAAATCCACATGCCACTGACGATGTTCGCCCCAGGTGGGGGAACCTCGTCGACGTAGGTGCGTGTGGACTTCTAGGAAGCCATCTCTGCGTCCATGGCTGTCTGCCACTGAGAGGAGTAGGGACCCGCCATCGCCTCAGCGTAAGTGCGCGGGGTCGGGATGTCTGGTGCATCCGGGTCTCCCTCAGGGGCAACTAGCATGGACACGAGGTGGGGCAAAGCAGCAGCAAAGCACTGGAACTCCTCCTGTCTGTCCTCAAGGACGTCCGTGCCAAGAGCACACTCACCCCCGACGGACGGAGGACAGACAGACTCAGACTAAGACTCAGCAACAAGGCTAGTGGCGTAGTCTAGACGACACCGGGCAGCAAAGTCTATCAACTCAGCGACTAGAGCAGACGCAGCAGAGGACTCAAAGGCAGGGTCAGTGACAACAGTAGCGAGGAAACGGGTGACAGTGGGACTGGCAGCACGACGGGAGTCAGACTCCGGGTCAGGAAGAGTAGGCAGAGAGGAAGCAGGAGGAGACGGTAGCGGGACACGCTGAGGAGCAGTGGAGGGACGCAGAGTCATGTAGTGAGTGCCAGGGACAGGAGGAGGACGCTCACGTGGGACACGACGACCAGTGCGAGCAGTACGAACAGGCAACGCAGGACGAGACTCAGGCTCACGACGCTCTGTAAGACCTCCCGTGGGACCAGTGTAAGGAGAGGGAGCAGGGAGAGGCGAGGCAGGCGGTAACTGTGACGGCGACTGGACAGGCGGAGGACACTCTACGGAGGGAGGAGGACAGGGAGGAGGAGCCTGACCAAGAACCTGCTGAAGAAGTGGTACGAAGTACGGTCGCGGCCGCGTAGCGTCTCTAGAACCAGCAGAGACACCAGCGGCAGGGTCCTCAGCACCAGCAGCAGCTCCACCGTCCAGGTCCTCAGCACCAGCAGCAGCTCGACCGCTCGGGTCCTCAGCACCAGCAGCAGCTCGACCGCTCGAGGAAGATACCCACCACCCTGTCTATTGAGGAAGAGATGTCCGGGGGGGCTGGTTGGAAGCGTCCGCAGAACGCGTATAGAGAGGCCATCGCGAGCATGCTTCGGCATGTTGTGGTGGCGTGTATTCGAGAAAGGGAGTCGGCGGAGGTGCGTACCCTTGAAAGGATGTGTTCCCAAGAGGTTTGTCCTGGGTTGTCATGTTCGACATAGACCCCCAGGATTCGTTCTGCTTCATTTGTCCTGCGGATCGGGATATTGTCACCATTGGAGAGAGTGCGGGAGTCGATGTTGAACGGAATGATGGCGCATTTGTTCCAGTTTGGGTATTCGCCGGAACACTGCGCGAATGTTTCAAGACATTTCCTTGCCGTCCGAAGTTCTGAGTCAGAGTTGAGAAAAAGGGAAACGTCATCGGCGTAGCTTGCCATGAGCCGACGTTGTAGTGGGGATATGGCAAAGCCAGGTAAGGCTGCAGCGAGGTGACGTTGTAGGACCTCTATGGCACAGACAAACAGCAGGGGGGCCAGCGGACAGCCTTGTCTTACCCCGGTGCGAACTTGAAAACGGGGACCGGTTGAGTTGTTGACCGACACATGTGTGTGAGTGTTAGAGTGAAGCCTCCGTACCCAAGTGATGAGCTCCGCGGGCAATCCAAGGTGAGAGAGGCATCGGAATAAAAATTCCCTGTCCAGCATATCGTAGGCTTTCCGGATGTCGACTGTGAGGACCAGCAGTGGTAGAGACTGGTGGGACGCCTAGTCTATGATGTCCAGTGTGTTGTTAATAGTGTCTCCTATCCGACGCCCTTTGATGAATGCAGTTTGAGAGTGGTGAATGATGAGTGGAAGGACAGTTTGAAGTCGATTGGCCAGGGTGATGGCTAGTATTTTGTAATCGGTGTTCATCAACGTGATGGGTCTGAGGTTTTCAACTAGGGCCGAATTCCCTTTCTTGGGGATCAGAATGGTACGGCCTTCACTCATGGAGGGAGGCGTGGTGTTATGGTTATGTATGCAGTCGACCAGTTTCTGAAGGGCCGGGAGCAGAGCGGTCTTGTGTGCGCGGAATAATTCGGCGGGCAGACCGTCGATCCCTGGCGTTTTACCCTTAGCCAGAGCCCCGACTGCGCGCTCAATTTCTGAGGTACGGAGAGGTGCCGAGAGATCCTCACACAGCGTGGACGAGAGTGATGAGGGATAGATGTGGTGCCAGAAGTCGGGGGCCGGATTGACGGGCGCGCTTCCACTATAGAGGTTGCAGAAAAAGGTGGTGCACAGCTGGGTCATAGGGATCAGGTCCTCAACCTTGTCACCAGATGGAAGTTGCAAGAACGGGATCTGAGAGTCCTTTACCCTCTTATTTAGGCTGGCCATGAGGGATGCTACCCCCATTTCCCTGGGACCCTCAACTTTCAATTTGGCTTTAAGGGCAATTTCAGCGGCCCGAGAGCTAGTATATGCGTGGAGACGCTGTAGTTGCAGATCGAGCCTGTGCGAAGCTTCTGAGGAACCAGGGAACTTAAGGAGGTGCATCTGTAGTTGGCAGATTTCGTCTTGCATATGAGTAACAGTTTTGTTGACCCGGAGGCGTTCTTCTCTGGTATAGCGTTTGAGCTTAAGCACTAGGGCCTGCTTGCATGTATCCCAGTGACGGGGCGTGAGGGGGGAGGGTAGCGAAGCCACAAAGTCAGAGACCAGGGAGGTGAGATGTGGCCTGTGTATGAGCTGCTGTGGGAGACGCCAAGGTCTATGGGCAGCATTCGGATTATGGAAGGAGATCGAGAAGAGGGGGCCGCTCCTATGGTCCGAGAGGGTGTTTTGAACGAAAGAATATGACGCTGCCGTAACTCTGCTGGCAACAGAGTTTGAGACGTATGAACGGTCGAGCCGTGCAGCCGACGGGGGGGGAGGTGGCGGGGGGGGCGGAGCAAGACCTTGCAGTGGGGTCGGGGGTGGGATGGCCGTGTGGGGAGGGACTGGTGCGATCGGTGGGCGATCACGAGGGGCGGCAGGCCGTGTAGGGGCGATGAACGAGTATGCCGGCGTAGTGGGGTGCAAAAGGCGAAAGGTGTCAGAGAGCGCAGACTCTTCTAGTATGTTGCTAACGAGTTTTGCTTCTGTGTTTTCATATGCACGCAGGGGGCGATTTCTATCGAGAGGGTCGAGGACATTATTAAAGTCGCCAGTAAGCAACGTCCACTCACATGAAGAAGATTGTTGCAGCACTGGCAGAACAGATTCTTCCCACCAGATTTTCCGTTCAAGGTAGTATGAAGGTGCATAAATGGCAATCAGCCGAAATTGTTCATTCAGGAAGTTGCAGTAGATGCTAAGGATTCTACCGTCCACGGAGGCGACCTTATCAGCTAGCTTGACCTGACGATTAAACACGAATATAGTGATACCCCCGGGAAAGGTTTGAGTGGGGGTGACTATTGGTGGCACTTGAGCGTATGCCGTGGGTTTCAATTTGTAGCGTAGTTTGGTGAAATTCGTCGACAGGCGAGTGTTAATTAAAACGAGGATGTCGGGGGGGGAATCTAACCATGCTTTTAGTTCATCCATCTTGTCGATTGCGTTCAACCCATTGATTTTAATACATTGGATAGAGAGTTGTATATTCATTGTGAAAACTTATTTGAGCCCCTGTATGCCGAAGCATACACATCCACAGGGCAAGGCGGAAGTAGGACAGGAAGAAGCGATTGCGGGGAGAGAGAATTTCCCATGCTTACTGTTACACGGACACAAGCAAGGCCGGCCCAGCCTAGTGGGAGGTAACGAGCCATGAGGCGCAGACCAGGGCTAAACGGCCTAGCAACAAGGAGCCAACCACTCCTATGCGCACGCAGCACAAAGAAGATATGCACCGAAGCGCTACATAGTAAGGTAGGCAGCCACGGGTGCCCTACTCCTCGGACAGGAATTGCGCGATCTTTTCGTTCTTCTTCAGGAAATCGTGCACCTTCAGATCCCCGAACTCCTCTTTCAGGAGCGGTCCGGACGACTGCAAGCGGCGGAGGTGCTGAGGCGTGGAACAGTGTGATAGCGCGGTGTCGATGGTCCACCCACAGGGGAAGTCGCAGGCACAGCAGGTCCAGAGTTCGACGTCGTTGTCGAGACCGATGAACAGGAGACCGAGATCCTGCTTGAACGTGTTGGCGGCAGCCGAGTGCCCCAGCGCCTTGGCTGTGCAACCAGTATAGGACAAGGGGGAACGGAGCAGACAGAAATAAAAACAACGGGGCCAGAAGGGAAAAGGCGAGGAGGCAGAATAGAGGCCAAAAACAAGACACTTGCCAATAGTTAGGCCAGACGTCCTTTACATAGAGGGGCAACATGAGGACCAAAGACCACGGACGAAAATTCGGGAGCCAATGGAATAACATTAACCGCCACTGTGAGCAACTGAAACAAGACTTATAAAAAAAAGTGAACACACCATTAACATTTTGCAGTTGTGCCACCGAGATCGAGAAGGGGTTGTTAATCTTGTTACGACGCGTTGTGGGGAACACGTGGTGGTCCCAGGTGCGGTGGTTGCTCGAGCAGATGCCACAAGAGTGGCAGGAAAGGTTCACCAGGACCGGCTCACGCACGTCCTCGATCCAGATGAGAGGCGGGGTAACGCTGAAGGACTCGTCGCCGGTCATGGGCTTGACGATGCCGTGCATCTGAAGCTGGAACATCTCCTCGTAAGGGTCGGAGGCAGTGTGGAGGTGCAGCAGGTCCGAAATCCATTTCTGCCCTTCGCGGTTCTTGCCATTCAACAGGATCGCTGACAGCTTCTCCTCGGTGAGGCCCAAAGGGATGTTGCGTAGGACAATGTGTGTCTCGCCACGCGCCTTAGCAGCGGTGAACTCGGGGGCGGGGTCGATGTAGACTTTGAGCTCAACCGCAGGGCCGTGCGGCGGAGAAAAGAAGATCGGAGGGCGGGCGCAGAAGTCATCTGCCGCTTCTTTGCTCGGAAACTGCAGGATCTGACGGGCGTAGGAGCGCTTGCCGAACTTCAGGTTTTCTCCAGCCATCGACTTGATGGAGGGGATCTGCCAGGTCTTGAAATCGGAACGGCGCAGGTTTTTCTTAATGCACGCAACAATCTCCTTGCGATGGTGTTCGGCAAGGTTCTCAGGAAAGATAATTGCGACAAGAGTATCGAGATCATGCTTGACATCCGACACCGTCTCACCGACCGTGTCCCGCAGAGCACAAAGTCGACGGAAGCGCTTGCTAGGCGCACCCAAGGAGGGAGCAGAGGAGACCTCCGCGTTCTGTACAGGAGCCGGCGCAGGAGTCCGGCCGGGGAGCTTGGAAGAGGAGGAAGATGCGGCTTTGCACACCTTCTTGGCAGCGGGGGACCCATCACCGAGAAGGTCACTGAACGAAGGGGTGATCCCAGCGTTATCCGCCATCACCGCGTCGAAGGCAGAGGAGTGCTCCATGATCTTCTGGGAAAAAAGGCAGATCGAGAGGGAGGTGCGAGGAAGCCCATGGTGGTGTGGAACTAAATATCCAACATTTCCACAGAGCGAAGGACGAGGCGCGCGTGTACGAGAGACGATGAGAAGCTGTTGAGACAAGAACGCACGAGGCGCGAGGTGGCAGGGGTTACGCCATGGCGCACCGGATTTTGATAGACCAGCTCACGTAGGAAAGTGTGAGCGGCATCAAGTGTGAGAGCACACGGGGAGTCAGCTGGCGTAAGAATGTGCCAGTCTGACGAACAAACGAGCCATGCAGGTCTGAAGTAACGAGGAGGTGACCCATAGCTTGATTCAGACACGAACGTTGAACAGAAAGTGAGGTGGTGGGCTTGGTCGTTAGGGCTGCATGTTGCCAGAAACCAACACGCGTCAGGCGGAGGGGACACGACAGAGGGAAACACACACACGGACGGATAAGGTTTGCACAGAAATCGCAGGGGTGGCCCAGGGGAGCCGAAACTCTGCACGGATAGAGGAATGAAGCAGGATCGGCACCAAACCCTGGGAGAGGACGGATGGGCTTTCTCCACACTGCCACGTAACAAACAGAAACGGATGGGGTTGTCATGGTGCCAATGCTTACCTGTCGGGATGAACTTGTCCTGAAGAGGAGGTGGGAGCCGAGGGACATGAGCAGACAGAAACCAACACCTTGAAACCGAAACCTTAAAAGTCCACCTGGCTGACCTGCAAAACACACACGTGTGAGGGTTAGCGAGGAGCGAAAACGCACCTACCAATAACCAGCCGAAAAGGAGAAACGAAGGTCCAGGAATCCTGGAGCAGCGGCCTGGAGTTGGAGAGAACAGGTGTCTTGCTACCACAGGTGTGCTGGAGCAGGGAGGCGGAGAGCTAGGGATCGTCATGTGAAGGTAGTGTGAAATGAAGATTGTATAGCAAACAGATCGTACATGCTGCTTTCATAATTTAGTTGCACATTGTGTTTCCACAAGTGGTGTCAACACACATTATCTATTTCAGCAGGCATTGGGATTGCCTGCTGTGTGCTGCGGAGAATCGGGGGGGGGGAAAAGAGGCAGTCCCTCTGTCAGCAAATCTAGTTCGTCCCCTCTATTAGCAATCGTCTTCTCGTCTGGGTAGTAGCTCATTTTGGAAATCCACTATTAATTGGAGTTTCTGTGCTCCGTTGGACACACGAAGTTTGGAATAAAATGTGCTTGTTGAGAACTGTAGGTCTGTGCGGTACGAAGCGGTCTCAAGAGTATTGTTCGCAGTGCAGCGTGTTTCGACGGCAGTAAGTCGCGATGGCAATCCCGACATTCCTCGGGCGGGATTTGGCGGACCTCAGCCATGATTTTTACGCGAATCACAAGCAGACGCGACTCGCGAGAGCACAACCGATAACAAGCGCGCAGGCGATTACGAGCGCGAAGGCGATTACAAGCGCATAAGTGAATACGAGCGCAGAAGTGATTACGAGCGCAGAAGCGACTACGAGCGCAGTAGCAAGTACGACGAGCCCAGGAGCGATTACGAGCCTTGGTTGCGAGTAGGATTTGAACTACTCGTACAAGCGATCTGAAGACAGCCGTTCCAGGGTTTCGCTTTCAAAATGCGACTTTCACGCTGCATTCTCGCCGTTTCATGGTGGCGGGAGAATGCGATCTCCCACGCAACCCTCACCATTGGCCGTCTTCCATCCAGCACGTGGCCGTCATGTCCAACGTGATGGTGTCCGATACCTGTGACCCTCGGCCAATCAGATCGTCCCAACTGTCTCGCTAGCTCGAAAATAGGGTGAGCGCGCGACGAGGTTAGCGAGCGAAGACGGGAGTGCAGGAATCAGGACGTGCGGACGGAGCGGAAGGAGCGGAAAGGGCGGAAAGAGGGAAAAGGTGAGGTAGTGAAGCTAGGTCGCGAAAGCGGAGGCGGAGTGGAAGATGCAGAAAAGGCCTTGAATGCGGCGGAAAGCTCGGAGGGGATGAGAGGGAAAAGACGAGATAGAGAAGAAGGTTTGAGAGCAAAAGGGGCGGAAGGGCGGAGACGAAGGAGCAAGTAAGGCCTTGATGGAGGGGAGTGCAGGCATGATGGTATGATGACGCAAGTGGTATCATGGGCAGCAGGAGGGGCGGGGTATCATCTGCCCCATTCGGGCAGGCAGCGCAAGGCGGTGGTAGGAGCGAGAGGTGCAGAGCCGACGCCACGTGTGAACTCTCTCAAGGGCGTGAACTGGTGAGACGGTTTTGGAAGGGCAAGGAGGGGGAGGTTGGGGGGGAGAGGGTGGAGCAGTGATAGGGACGAGAGAGTTGTGACGCAACAAGAGCTTCTTGTTGCGAGAGAGACATGGATTGCTATTTTTGGGTGGGTCTTCAGACCTGCTGACGTCATGCCAACATCATCTGCTCCATGTGACATGCATGAAGAGGTATGCTCGCATGGGTCCTCTCCTGCATCCTCACATGCTCCAAACACATGCAGTTCACATATGTACATGCACGGCAGCTCACATGCTCCAAACACCCTCCCCCTCCCATTCTCCTCCATCCCCTCCCATTCTCCCCCTCCCCCTCCCATTCTCCCCCATCCCCTCTCATTCTCCCCCTCCCCCTCCCATTCTCCCCATCCCATTCTGTGTGTGCGTGTGTGTGTGTGTGTGTGTGTGTGTGTGTGTGTGTGTGTGTGTGTGTGTGTGTGTGTGTGTGTGTGTGTGTGTGTGTGTTTCGTTACTGGCCGTTTTTATTCTGTGTACCTCTCACTCCATCCCATCCCATCCCATCCCATCCCATCCCATCCCATCCCATCCCATCCCATCCCATCCCATCCCATCCCATCCCATCCAATCTAATCCAAACCCAACTGTTGGCGCTTCTGTTTACACCTTAGTTGCCATGACAATTGCCATTTCACTTGCCATTGCAGTTGCCATATCAATTGCTGTCTCGGTATTCATGTCAGTTGACTGTATGTTACCATTGCAGTTGCCATCTCTGTTGCAATCTCACTTACTCAACTCAGTAGCCTTCGCAATAGCCATGTCAGTTGAAAATTCAGTTTCAATTTCAGTTGCCATTCCAGTCCACGTTTCAGTTGGCATCTGTGTTGCATCACTTGCCATCTCGCTTGCCATGTCAGTTGCCATTTCAGTTGCCATCTTATTACGTTTTGCTTGCCAGTTGCTGCCTGCTTGCTTGCCATCTCACTTGTTCCTTCGCTCCTTCGCACCTTGGTTACCAGCAAGGCGCCCATGTGAATCGCTCTCGCCCTCTCCAAGCAAACAACCCCAACCCCCCCCCCCCCCCCCCCCCCTGCCCTCTTCCTCTGCTTCACCCCCTCACGTTCTCTCCCATGACTCTGCTGCTTTCGTTCTCTTCCCACCTCCCAATATCACTCCCCATACTCGCTCTTCTCTAATTTTCTTGACCTCTCCATTTAGGGAAACGATTTTCTCAACCCCATGCCTTTCATCTCTCAACCCCATGCCTTGCATCTCTCAACCCCATGCCTTGCATCTCTCAACCCCATGCCTTGCATCTCTCAACCCCATGCCTTGCATCTCTCAACCCCATGCCTTGCATCTCTCAACCCCATGCCTTGCATCTCTCAACCCCATGCCTTGCATCTCTCAACCCCATGCCTTGCATCTCTCAACCCCATGCCTTGCATCTCTCAACCCCATGCCTTGCATCTTCTGTGTGTCCCTGATAACATGCACCCATCCATGCACCCATAAACCCATGCACCCTTGCAACTGTGCACTCATGCACCCATCCATTCTTGCACCTAGGAACCCGCACACCCATGCACCCACACACCCATGCACCCACACAACTATACACCCACACACCCATGCACCCACACACCCATGCACCCACATACCCATGCACCGTACACACCCATGCACCCACACAACCATGCACCCACACACTCATGCACCCACACACCCATGCACCCACACACTCATGCACCCATACACCCATGCACCATATGCTGATGCACCCACGAACCCATGTACTTCTGAGTTTCATCAATCCGCTCAATACCTTGCTTTTGCAAAGTGACCCTGAAACCATGCATCCATGCGCCCACGCACTCATTCACCCATGCACCCATGCACCCATGCACCCATGCACCCATCATCCATTCTCCCTTTCACCTATGAACCCATGTGCACACGTTCCCATGCAGGCACAGGTGGAGGCTAGTGTCATCATCTTGAATACAGCTGCTGGAAGCAGCTCCATTCACAAGGCCTATCACAAGCTTCATGATCCTAAAGGACCCTCTACTCTGAACTGAGCATCTCAATATACATAAATGGATATGTTTCCTCACCTCAGCTGCTTAAATTGTAATGTGTTATATGTTGGTAGGCTGTAGTGGGGTAGCCAATATGGGGTACAACCCCAACTAGGGTTTGCTACTTGTACCCAACTGTTTCATTCAATGCACCATTCTTGCCTAGTCCTGTTGACATGGTATTCAGAGCAGGAGGTCCCTAGGACCTACCGACCGTTTTTTTAGGGCCCACCACCGCTCGCATGCGGTTACCACGCTACCCCGTGCCCTAGCCTCGTAGCGCCCTCGTGCGCCCTCGTTAGCGCCCTCGCGCGCCCTCGTTAGCGCCCTCGCGCGCCCTCGTTAGCGCCCTCGCGCGCCTCTCGTTAGCGCCCTCGTTAGCGCCCCTCGTTAGCGCCCTCGCCCGCCGCGCTGCTCGTCGCGCCGCCCGTAGCGCTGCCCGTCGCGCCGCGCGTCGCCAGCCGCGCTGCCCGTCGCGCTGCCAGTCGCGCTGCCCGCTCGCTGCGTTGTACCCGCCGCGCTGCCCGCCAGTAGCGCCGCCCATCCGCCGCGCTACCCGCTCGCGCTGCCCGCTTGCAGCGCCGCCTGCCCGCCGCGCTGCCCGCTCGCAGCGTCGCCCGCCCGCCGCGCTGCCCGCTTGCAGCGCCGCCTGCCCGCCGCGCTGCCAGCCT